CTGAGCCATCTCTCCAGCCCTGTTTCTTAGTTTTACTAGGTTTTTTTTTTTTTTTTTCCAGAACCGGGGATTGAACTCAGATCTTTGCATTTGCCAGTCAAGCGCTTATCCTACTGAGCCATCTCCCTGGCCCCAGTTTTACTAGTTTTTGTATCATGTAATTTTGAAGCTTATCAGACACATATAAGTTTGAGATACAGTGAATGGACATATCATTGCATAATGTTGACCTGTACCTTGTAAATTTGCTAGCTGTGGAGTCTATTTTTGTCTAATGTAGTATAACCACCATTTTTTTTTTTTTTTTGAGTATTTTGCATTTCTACAAGTCTGCTGGTCACATATTGCCATAGTTTTCTTTTATCTTCCCTCCTTTCTTTCTTTCATGTTTTATCTATTTATTTATTTATTTATTTGGTACAGGATCTTGCTATGCAGCTCTGACTCCTAGTGATCCTCCTTTCTCAGCTTCCCCAGTGCTGGGATTACAGGCATGCGCAACCATGCCAGGTTTCTGTGGCCAGCATGGTACGCCTGGAGTTCTGGGCCAGTGCGCAACCATGCCAGGTTTCTGTGGCCAGCATGGTGCGCCTGGAATTCTGGGCCAGCTCAGCATGCCATGCAAGGGATCGAACCTGGGTCCTTGTGCTTGCCAGGCAGACACTTAGACTGCCATGTTATCTCCCTCAGTCCCCATCTCTCCTTCCTTCCTTCCTTCCTTCTTTCCTTCCTTCCTTCCTTCCTTTTTGTATTTTAGGGAAGGTTCTACAAGGTGTTCAGGGTCTTACTACTAGATGGGACTTACTGTGATCCACCTGTTCATAGCCTCCCAAGAGGTGTGATTATAGACAGGCACCACTATGCCCAGTCTTTTTTTTTTTTTTGGTGGAACTGGGGGTTGAACTCAGGCCCTTGTGCTTGCCAGGCAAGTGCTTATTCTACTGAGCTATCTCCCTGGCCCCCATCCATGCCCAGTCTTAATTGCTGTCTCAGCCCGCCCTGGGGGTGGGGCTGGCACAGCAGGCCTGGAGCACGAACCCCCTGCCCTTGCTCCTGCTTATAGGCGCTTTAATCTGCTGAGCTATTTGTCTGGCCCTTTGTCTCCTTGGTTTCTGAAGAAGACTTTTGCTAGCTAAAGAATTCTGACTTGGCAGTCCTTTAATCACATTAAAGATGCTATTTTACTTTTTCTGCAGTCCACTTTCCACTGAGAAATCTCAAAGTTTATGGTTTTTTAAACAGTTTGATTAGATGTATCTAAGTTTGACTTTGTTTGATTGTTTTTTAAGTGTTGTTGACCTTGAATCTATAAAATTATGTCTTTTCCCAAATTTTAGAAGTTCTTTGCCATTAATAATGATTTTTTCTTTTGTTAGTCTGTTTTTCTTCTCTATTCTATTTGATACTGGCCCACAAGTCATTCAGGCTTTTTTCTCTCTTTTATGTTCCAGTACATGGCCTTTATCCTTTTATCATGTTCATCCAGCTTATGAGACCATGCAGTCAGTTTTTAAAAAAGTTTTGGATATTGTATTTTTTCAGTTCTAAACTATGTGGTTATTTTTTTTTTAATTTTTTTTATTATTCGTGTGTGTGTGTGTGTGTGTGTG